GATGCCTCCTCTATGGGGGTCCCTGTGCTATGGGGCTCCATAGGGGTCCCTGCCGTTCCTCTCAGGGCCCTGTGCTCACCTTGATGCGCTCGATGCCGGCCTCGATGCGGAGCTGCTCCACCAGCTTGCGGGCCTGAGCGATGTTGTTAGTGGTCGACATCGTCTGCCATCGGCGCCGGGCCCAGCGCTGAGGATCCTGCAGCACAACGGGCACAGGGTTGGCACAGCGTGGGGCTGCATCCCCTCCTCACCCCACACGTGGGGGGTCGTGCTGGTGGCTGAACGCCTCCTGCTTCCAGCTCCCCCCTCCTCGCAGCAGCGCTCGTGTGGGGCACAGAGAAACGCGCTGCTGGGGGGGGGGGGGGAAGACGCAAAGGTGGGCAACCGAGGGCTGAGCACAGGGGATGTGTGGCACTGCGAGGTGCTGCAGCTCAGCCCCGCCATGTGGATTTGCCATTGGGCAAACGCCTCTGAGAAGAGCAGGGCCTGCAGGGCAGGGGGCTGCAGGGACATCAGCGCTGATGGGTGGCAGCAGCTCAATGACCCCGGTGCCACCTGCGACCGCGGCATGGGGGCGAACACACAGCGACCCCACGGCGCTGGGAATTCCTGCCGTGCCTCTCATAGCTGCAAGCGGCTGCTCCCAGCAGGGTGAGCAAACGCAGCACATCCCAGCCATCAGCACTGCTCAGAGCCTGGGATGCAGGGACGTCCCCAGAGCAGCACCCAAGGGACGCCCTGCTGGTGATGCAGCTCTGCGTCCCCCCGCCGTCCCGGCAGCTCAGAGCATTGAGCTGAGCTCAGAGCACGGAGTGACTGCACAGCCTGGAGGTGCTCGGGGGTGGGACGAGGGGGGAACGGCTCAGAAGCAAAGCGGGGTGGCTGTGGGTGCAGGCTGGGTGCTGGGGTGGCGCCACGCAGCCCAACGCGGTGCATCGCAGCCCCCAGCGCCGCGCTGGAGGTGACCTCATGCTTTTCTGGAACAGAAGAAGGCTGTTAGGGCGACGGCATTTGCTCCTCGTCTGGGCAGAACAAAGCAGGCTCCACTTTTCTTTTACACTTCCTGCACCAGTAGCTTAACAGCTGAATGAGCCATTGAATTTTTTTCCCCGAGTGCAGCATTTTTTTTTTTCCCTTTTATGTCTTTTTTTCTTTTCCCCCCCCCTTCTTTAACAGACCTCCTGATTTGTGTGGCGTGGGACAAAGCTCAGTGAGAGCAGCAGAGCTGGAGCCACCCTGGAGCACGGCAACGGGACGGGGTTGAGCCGCCCTGTGCTCACAGCTCAGCTCAGTGCCACCTCCCCACTGCCACCCCCCTGCTCTCTGCTCACCTCTGGGTTTTTCTTCCCTTTCCTCCCCAGCTCTGCATTCAGCCACGCTTGGGTGCAGCTGCAAAAGACACCCAAGCATTGCACGCACCAGGCTGCACGCCGCAGCTCAGCTCTGAGCCCGCTGACACGCACGCGAGGCTGCACGCTTTGTGCAGCCCAAGCAGGAGCCCAGCAGGTCAGGCTCTCTGCTTCTGTTGCAGCAGGCAGCACCTGAGCTCTGAGCAGAGCCTCGGGTGCATTCTGCACTCCTGCTGCAAACGCTCTTGCTGCAAACACCGCCGCTGCAAAACGCTCCTGCTGCAAGCATGGGGCAGGGCTGCACTGGTGCCCCAGCTGCAGGCCTGCACTGGTGCTCGGCTTCAGAAAGCAGCAGCTGGGAGCTCCCAGCCCTTCACTGCACAGGAGGTGCTGATGCACTCGGCTCACCGTGACCCGCAGATGAGACTCGCAGCCCTGCAGAGCCCTGAGCTCAGCCCCCATCTGTGCAAACCCCCCAACAGCCCCACGCTGCTCACAGCCCCGCTGCCCCGAGCGGCGCAGCATTGCACCAGGGCCACGACCAGGAGCCATGCAGGCTGCATGCTGAGGGCCCACGCTTGGCTCCGTGCAGCTCCCAGCTGTGCTGCAAGAGCAGCGTGCGGTGACATCAGCCCCAGCAGGCACAACACGGCCATTGTGTGGCGGGGGAAGAGGCTGGAGCCCCTCTGCAGCGCCCCGAGCGCCGTCCTTTTGTGTGCGGTGCAAAAAAGAAGCTGTGTTTGTTTGCCACGCTGACTGCAGCCATTATGCACGCGTGCACCCAAAGGGCGCTGCAAAGCAGCTAAAAATAGGGGCCAGGCACCACCGAAACCACAGCAGCCATCGTCACCGCGTGGCACAAAGGCAGCCCTGGCACTGCTGGGGGGGTCAACGAGGGCTGCCACCACGTGCAGCCATTGCACACCACTGCAACACCCAGCTGCCCAGCAGGGCTGCCCCCAGCTCACAGGTGAGATCTGGACCCTTCCTTTGCATCACAACCACTTGCCCAGCAGCAGGCACAGGAAGGCAGCAGCAGTGAATCTGCTCGGCTCACAGCTGCTCACGAGGACGGGGTTTTCTTTGCTGCTGGTGTTGCACGCTGATGGCACCCGGTGTGCAGAGCAAAGAGCTGCCCTTCAGGAACCCAAACCTGCACAGAGGGTTGGAAGGATCTGATTGGGGACCACGCAAAACCAACACCCTCCCCATCGGACAAAAGCACCCTGCAGGTAACCAAGGCTGAGAGACCCAAAGCTGGAGCTCAGCTCTCCATCCCCGTGCTGAGAAACCACTCAGTGCCAACAAACCTTTGGTCCCCCCCCCTCTCCCCACGGCGTGCAGCTCTGCTGACGCGATGACTGCAGCATCATGTGAGGGTTTGCAATGAGGAGCACTCCCACACGGCCCCGGAATCTGCTGAGGAAGGGGGGGGGGGGGGGGGGGGGAGCTTTCTTTTGTGCCTCTTCCAGGAAGGAGTCACGCAGTGCTGGCGCAGCTCCGGGCTGAGCTCAGGGCTCTGGGAACTGCACTGGAAAGGCTGAGGCTGGGAACAAAGCAGAGGCTAAAAATGGAAGGTGCAGGGCAGGGCTGAGGCACAGGGCAGGGCAGGGGGATGCTGGGGGTGTGGGACCCTCCTTGGCACTTCCCATCACCTCCTGAGGGGTCAGAGAGCAACGTGTGGGACAACCCAACAGCTTCACATGTGCAGCACTGGGCACGGGGCCACGCGCAAAGCCCGGCACCATGGGGGCAGCCCTGGGCACAGAGCCCCACGCTGCTCCATTCCCACGCTGCATGAAGGCAACAGCTTTCCTTCCCCATCGCTCAGCTGTGAGCTCCTTCTGCAGCTGCCTGCAAACCTGCAAACAAAGGGAAGGTGGAGGCAAACGCTTTCCTGCAGTGTCACCGCTGCAGCAATGCAGGAGAAGCAGCACATGGAGCTGTCATCGCAGGGCCACGCAGCCTTTCCCTTCCAGCAGCTGAACTGGGAAACTGGGAATGACTTTGTCAGCTGTGGGAGAGCTTTGTCAGCTCAGGCCCTGCAGCTGTGAGCACACAGGGGAGCAGCACAGCACTGACACGCAGAGCTTGGTGCCGAATGCTGCAGATGGAGCACAGCCAGGTCACAGGCTGCACTCTGCAGCTTCTTGCTGGCTTTCAGGTTTTCACACTGTTGGGCAGCTCGGGGCTCCCCAAATATCAGCAGCAGCCAGCACAGCACGCACAGTGCACCCAAAGGATCTGCCTGTCAGCTCCACATGCACAGTGCAGAGCTGGAAGCAGAGGGGAGACTGGAAAGTCGTGGCCTGGCAGATCGCTCAGCCCTGGCTGGAAGGTGGAATGCTGATGGGTTCTGGTAGAAAATCTGTACTGATAAAGACATGCTGCCCTCCTGGGGGATGTGTCACTCATCTGGGGGACGTCGGACTCACCTGGGGGTCACATCACCCACCTGCAGGATGTGTCACCCACCCGGGGCTCACATTGCTCACCTAGGGGACACAGCACCCCCCTGGGGCTCACATCTGGGGCTCACATCTGGGGCTCACATCTGGGGCTCACATCACCCACCACGGGGCAGCTGCAGGGCTGAACTCCCAGCACCGCGAGCCAAAACTTCCACAGAGCTGTGGAGCATCGGAGAGAACCAGGGACAAAACAAAACCAAAATATTTGTAAAGCACAATGGGATTTTTTTCTTTCTTTCTTTTGTTTTTTCCCCCACCACCACCGCTGGAAAACGCTTTTGAGGCACCCAGCCAGCACCACTTCAAAGGGTGCAGAAGCGCGTGGGGCTGACGCTGCTCAGAGCTTTCATGCGAAGCAGAACGCACGAGCTGGGCTCAGTGCAGGGCTGTGGTGCCACGTTCCCAGCACCACACGGTGGCCACGGGGCTGGGATACGTGGGGGGGCAACGCTGGGATGGCAGGGGGACACGTGGGGGGCGCATGGCACGCAGCCCCCTGCCATCCCATCTCAGCACAGCCCACGAAGGCAGGCGACGCTCCGGGTTTGTTTTGCAGCTGGCTCCTGGCTGTCTGCAGGACCTCATGTAGACGGTGAAGGAGACGGGTCTTAACCAAGCAGGGAGCACAGTTTCCAGCAGCCCTGTTTTGCTAAGGGAGCTAATTGTCAATTCCTCACATTCCAAGCAGACCTGGTCTCGCTTCCCAGGACTTAACCTCTTCCAGCCTGGCACCAGGAGAGCTGTGCTCCAAAGGACACAGACCTGGAGCTCGTCACACTGCTTTTCTGGTGGAGAAGGATCACTTCTCCCCTGCATTCGTGCTCCTTTGCAGCACAACCCCAGTGCAGATGTGGGCAGTGAGCACTGAAAGACAAACCTGAGCTGAGTCGCAGCCACCCGGCGTCTCCAGGGCTAAAAGATAAGAGGAGGAAGGCTGGAAGTGGAAATGCCCACCTAGGTTTGCTGGGGTGGCTCAAAGCCACTTTGGTTTCAATTGGAACTGCTGCTAAAACGAGCTCAGGAGGAAACAGCAGAGCCCCAGCACTGTGCATGCTCTTGTCCTGGGCACACGGGCACCTTCCTCCTCCTCCTCCTCCTGATGACACAGTGCTGACCTCAGCCAACCTCCACAAATGTAAACACTGCAGTTTGCTCTTCTAAGGCACAAAGCAAGCCCCCCTAATCCCTGGCAGCTGTATGGGAAAATGTGGGTTTTTATAATAACCAGGACAGGACAAGAAATAAAGACAAATCCCTTAAAGAGAAGCGAACCCAGAAGGCTGCATGCAGGCTCTGCATTCGTTTGCAGATTGCAAACAGGCAAACCTCTGACACATGGCTTTGTGGTGAGAGGTGTCTCCCAGCCCAGCCTGGCT